GATGCCGGTGGTGACAACAATTTGATTGGTCAGTTTGGTGTTGGCTTTTACTCAGCATTCCTTGTTGCTGATCGGGTAAGTTCTTAACCAGAAAACTGTGAGATCCTACGACTTTTAATCTGTTGCTTTCTTCTTTTGGTCAAGTGGCTGAATATATAATAATGTTGGGGTAGTCCTCCCACTCCCCAAGTTCCTGCCTACCCTTTGAGGGTTCAACTTCTCCATTAAGAGTTGAAACTTGTGTATAGAAATTTCTGTACTGCTCAATTGTTATGTATCTCCTGTTGGTTGTAGGTTGTTGTCTCCACAAAGAGCCCAAAATCTGACAAACAATATGTATGGCAAGGAGAGGCAAATGCTAGCTCGTATACAATTCAGGAGGAGACTGACCCTGAGAAGCTTATTCCTAGAGGAACCCGCCTGAGCTTGTATCTCAAGGTCAGTGTAAAATACTTTTTAACTTATAAATAAATAAATAAAACCCTGTATATAGTTTGCCTATGACTCTGATCTCCAAGCTAATTCTTTATCTGTCTGGCTACTTTCAGCGTGATGACAAAGGTTTTGCTGTTCCAGAACGGATACAGAAGCTTGTGAAAAACTATTCACAGTTTGTTTCTTTTCCTATATACACTTGGCAGGAAAAGGGGTACACTAAAGAGGTAAGGGTTTTTTCCCCATCTTCTGAATGCTTCTACTTTTGTCAATGGTTTTGTATGTTGTATGTTCAGGGCAATTATTGGGGATGGTTTCATTTCAGGTTGAGGTTGATGAGGATCCAGCTGAATCCAAAAAGGATGAAGAAAATGAGAAAACCGAGGTACCAAAGAAAAAAACGAAGACTGTTGTTGAGAAATACTGGGATTGGGAGCTCGCTAATGAGACACAACCAATATGGGTGAGCCTTAACAGTTTCTTCTTTGTATGTTTACTCTGCTTTTTATGGCAGTAACTTTTTTATGCTTACATCATTCCAATTGATATATACAGCTTCGCAATCCTAAGGAAGTGAATACGGAGGACTACAATGAGTTCTACAAGAAAACTTTTAATGAATACTTGGATCCACTAGCATCTTCGCACTTCACAACAGAGGTATTTTATGACTGTTACTCCCTTATAAAAATAATTTTTAAGATCCTCAACAAATGCCACTTGTAGTAGAATTTTGAAGTAAATGTTGCATATTTCTGTATTATCACATGATGTCTGCTTCTTGAGTTGGATAAAAGTTGTGTGGAATTGACACTATCTAAGTTAATTATTGGTTTTTTTGTTGTAGAATTTTTAAAATTGCATATTTGTGGTATAGTGGCAACTATCAGGATGTCTTCTTAAGTTGGGTAACAAATGGACGTTATCTAAATTTGAATGACAATTGAAAATACAGCATTAGTGCCTGAAGTTAGGATGAAATGTGTAGTTCTATTTGACAATGTACTCGTACTTAATTGCTCATATGTTCCGCTTTTAAGTTGAAGAGGTTGCTATTTGCAGGGTGAAGTAGAATTCAGGTCTATTCTGTATGTTCCAGCGGTTGCTCCTAGGGGGAAGGATGACATAGTCAATCCCAAGACAAAAAATATAAGGCTCTATGTGAAAAGGGTGTTCATTTCAGATGACTTTGATGGAGAACTGGTAAACAAAATAAAGACATTTTTACAAGAGAGTAATGCATGGTTCTCTTAAATGTAAGCTTATTGGTTCTAATTGCTCTTACATTCCCTTTTGAGTAGTTCCCTCGATACTTGAGCTTCGTCAAAGGTGTTGTGGACTCAAATGATCTTCCACTCAATGTTTCACGTGAAATTCTTCAGGAGAGTCGTATTGTAAGTAAATCTAGCACACTGTCTTTTTAACCTTTAGGTTCCAATTAGTTTACTTTAAACAAACTATCGTTTCTGTGATCTACTTGAAGGTACGGATTATGAGGAAGCGCTTGGTTCGGAAGGCCTTTGATATGATCCTGGGAATATCCATGAGTGAGGACAGAGCAGTATGTTTTTGCTTCTGTTTTTTTATCATCCTTTGTTTTTTGTATGTTTTCAGTCTTGTGGAATTATGATACAAATTTCAACATCTTGGCAATTGATGCCTCTGCTGCTTGGGGTAGCGAATGATATTGCCCCCCTACATTCTTTAAACATATCCCTTTGTTGTTTATTGCAGGATTATGACAAGTTCTTCGAAAATTTTGGAAAGCACTTGAAACTGGGTTGCATTGAAGATCGTGAAAATCATAAGCGTATTGCTCCATTGCTTAGATTTTTCTCTTCCCAAAGTGAGGATGTGATGATCAGCTTGGATGAATATCTTGAGAACATGAAACCTGAGCAGAAGGGTATCTATTACATTGCTTCTGATAGTGTAGAAAGCGCAAGCAATACACCATTCCTGGAAAAACTTCTTGAGAAGGATCTCGAAGTATGTATTGCCTCTCAAATAATTTGATGATAATATTTGATTATGCTGTTTTATGAATTTATGGATGATTTTTGTTGTGCTATTCTTGTAGGTGTTGTACTTAGTTGATCCAATTGATGAGGTTGCCATCCAGAACCTGGAATCTTACAAGGAGAAGAAATTCCTTGATATTAGCAAGGAAGATCTGGATTTAGGTTAGTTCATTGGAGCCCTTTGAGTTGATCCGATTGACTTGACGTTCTTGCCTCTTTGATTATGTTTCCTTTGCTAAGGAAATCTGATATGTATTAATGACCTTTCTGCAGGGGATAAGAATGAGGAAAAAGAAAAGGAGATTAAGCAGGAATATGGCCAAACATGTGATTGGATTAAGAAACGTTTGGGTGACAAAGTTGCCAGTGTTCAGATTTCAAACCGTCTTAGCTCGTCACCCTGCGTTCTTGTATCTGGGAAGTTTGGTTGGTCTGCCAACATGGAGAGGTAGAGTCCCTCTGTTGCTGAATACATGTTTCAAGAATTCATATAGCAGAACCTGATTGTTATCCTCTGAACTTGTGATTGGACTTTTCCAGGTTGATGAAGGCACAAACTGTTGGTGATACTTCTAGCCTTGAGTTTATGAGAGGCAGGAGGGTGTTTGAGATTAATCCTGAGCACCCAATCATTCAAAATTTGAATGTATGTTTGCACGGAGAAAGCTACTCTCCCCAACTCTCCCAATCTTAAAAGACTTGATCGTTTTAGAAAGTACAATAACATTTTAATCCTGGTTTGCAGGCTGCAAGCAAGATCAACCCAGATGATGAAGATGCTATTAGAGCTATTGATCTTTTGTATGATACAGCTTTGGTGTCTAGTGGTTTTACCGTGAGTATTCAAGCTTGCTTCACATCTCTTGTTAAGACTGCTCTTAGGATTATTAGATCTATAGCAACCATTCTTCATTTCAACTTGACCATTAGGAAATCCTGGGCCCTGAAAATGAAAATGCACTTTACCTCGTGGTTTGGTGAAAATGAGAATTGCTTTTTGGATTTGAAGGTGCCACTATTTGTTGGTTTGAGACACTAATGCTACAGACAAGTATCACTCTCTAGGAATCTGTTGTAGCCCATGCTAAGGATGATGATTTGCATGCTTATTTGATCAATGTTTGATCTTCTTACATATTCAACTTGTATGTCTTGTTGATGCAGCCTGAAAATCCAGCACAGCTGGGTGGAAAGATATATGAGATGATGGGTTTGGCTCTTTCTGGGAAATGGTCTACACCCGTCGCTGAGGTTCAGCAACCAGGACCCCAACACCACAACCCAGAGACGTTAGAGGCCGAGGGTCAGCATCCAGCAACCCCACATCACAACAGCGAGATATTAGAGGCTGAGGTGGTTGAGCCTGTTGAAGCCGGTACCCAGAAATGAGGAGCAAGAGTCATTTTTCCTTTTTGACACTAAATTCTCTTTCTTATGCACAAAATTCAGTGGGTAGGTCTTTTAGTGGTGCAGTTGATAAATGTCTGGACATGAGTGTTAGAAATATATATATTTGAGGGAGCTGGTGACCAGAAATAAGAGCACAAAGCAACTTTCCTTTTTTGGTACCAAATTTTCTTACAAAATTTCAGTGGTAGGTCTGGCTGGTGGTGTTCATATATGGAGACGAGTCTTATGATATATTTGATGGACGTAGGCTGTTTGGCTGAACTCTATAGGATTACTTAATAATCTTATGGTTATTTTGACTAATTCCTTTCCCCTTAATTTGTACTTGTTTTAGTTTGTCTTTTATTTAACTAATGTGCAGCATCGGATTGACCAGCTATCTTCACCCCAAGACTGCAGATATTATTTCCATATTACATCATTTTAAATTTCAAGCCTCTACATTTAGTCTCGGTGCATTTATACGCATTTAGAAAAATTTAAACCGTTTTAATTGATCTAATGGAATTGAATTATTTCACATCAGCACAATTGTATTAGATTAAAAAAGTCTCCTTTTGCACTGTATCACTTACCCATCTATTCCCCCTTCTCTCGTGTAATCACATCATAATTATCAAAGGCTGGAATTTGATTCCCAAATCAATTCGACATGGCTCATACTAATAAATTATCTTTTTTAATGTATTAATTTTGACTTAAATATGATATGTGAATTAGTTCTCATAAAAAAAAATTGGCTCTCATAGATAGTCTGATTCTAATTTATTAATGGTACAGATTTTCAAGGAATATAATGTGAAACTAATATTTATTTTCAAATTTGATCAATCAAAATTATACAAGTATTAAGTGAGATAAATGTTTCCTGAAATATAATTTTAATTTTCCATGTATGCTATAATGCTACGGCATTTGTCAAAGAAACATGTGCAAAAGTCAAGCGGGCCAAGCGGCGAAGTTACCATTTTGACCTCGACAGTACAACGTGTCGTGAACGTCGTGACTTGTCAGCAAATAAAAAACAATAAAAGAAACGTGCTAAGCCAGTCAATTCCAACCCAAGACCGGCTGAGCCGGTCACCCCCAACGTTAAAAGTCTTCACTTTCCCGGTAAAAACACCGTTGCCGTGTCCCAGGGGCAAAATGGGAAAACCACCTCTTCATAAAAAGTGAATTAAACTTCCCAATCTGTCTCTCCGCGTCTGTTCTCATCTTCTCTACTGAGCTGAATTTCTCTCGGGCTTCGTCTGGTAAGCACTCTCTCTCTCTCTCTCCTTCTCTCTTTGTTCCTTCTGTTTGGTCGCTGAGAAAATCGTAGAAAATGAAAGAAATTTTGTTTAGTTGGCATTGAATTTGTTGCTTTTGATCTAAGAATTTGACGAAAAGTCCACACTGAACAAAGGCAAGTATTTATATTAGGATCGGTTCCGTGACCTCCGAATTTGCTGCTTAGCCTTCCATCTATTCTTGTTGCTTTAATTCTCTCTGTGCAACGAAGCAGGTTAATCACCAAGCGAAGCAGATTCAACGGCAAAGTAGACTTTTTTGTTTTGAAAAGAAAAAATTGGGGTTTTATATTGTGTGCAAATTGGTAAAGGTCTGCCTTTTTGTTATATGTTTCTGAAATGTTTCTGTTGCTTGAACGTTGTTTCATTTCGTAATTTGGAGATTAGAGGCTTTTCTGAAAATAGCATGTTTAATATTGATAGTCTTACGGCAAGAAAAAAGCTTAGATTCGTAGTATTATTTTATTCAATTTCAGTACTTCTGTTGTGATGATTAATTCTTCGGAAACAGTACGACTGGCAGCTTTTAATAGATGTAGTAGAACCTGGATGATATGCTTCTCGTAGCAGTTTGCGTAATCAATCACAGGTATCCAAGCCAGTTTGATGTAAATGAAAATTTGTCAAATCGTCTCACCATTTGCTGTGTTGTTTTTGGGATTTCATCTTAACTGATAGTTGCAGATGTTTGTCTGTGCATGCACATATGTCTTCTTTTGGGTGCTGAGTGCATGTTGTTAATTCTCAACAATGAGAAATCTTCTATATTTTTTAACATTCACTTTCAGATCTAATATGCAAAATGTCACGATAGCTTTCAGAAGAGTAAAAATGTTAGGGTACTTGGCTGATACTTCTATTTCTGTAGTTGCAGAAGTAGCGGATCTGGTGGATGGGTACATCATCTGGCTCCAATATACACCACCAACCTTCATCAAAGATGCTTCCTCCTCGTCAGCAACCACGAGCTGGGGGACTACAAACCTCCCTGTCCCTTGTCTCTTCAGATCCTCGGCTTTCCCCTGAAGAACCCAGATCAAATTCTGATCACAGACGTGAGTCCCCTACTGAGAGTGCCAGTTCTCGAGAAACATGGCCTACTGCTGATGCCATAATGGCAAAGAAGATGGAGAATGGGAAAGCAGAAAATGATTGCCCAGAACAATCAGTCATTCGCCGTCTTTCCAGCGCTGATAAGATATCTCTTCGAGACATTGCAAGAGAGCGAGTTGATATAATCTCTGAAAAGATGCATCACCTACCTGATGAGTTTCAGGAAGAATTAAAGAACAACCTCCGAGTAATCCTTGATGGGAATGGTGGTTCGCAGCAGAGAGATGAATTTTTTATCCTGCAGAAGCTTGTTCAAAGTAGAGCAGATTTAACAGCGAAGACTTTGATTAGAGCACACAGAGTACAGCTTGAAATCCTTGTTGCAATAAATACCGGGATTCTGGCCTTTTTGCATCCAAATATCAGTCTGTCGCAAACTTCCCTTATTGAAGTTTTCGTGTACAAGAGATGCAGAAATATAGCATGCCAAAACCAGATTCCAGCTGATGATTGTACATGCGAGATATGCACCAAAAGAAATGGTTTCTGCAATCTTTGCATGTGTGTAGTATGTAACAAGTTTGATTTTGAAGTGAACACTTGCCGTTGGGTTGGTTGTGATTTGTGTTCTCATTGGACTCACACTGATTGTGCTATTCGGGATGGACTAATATGCATGGGTGCCTCTGGTAAGAGTGGATCAGGGCCATCCGAAATGCTTTTTAGGTGTCGAGCTTGCAATCGGACATCTGAGCTACTGGGTTGGGTCAAAGATGTTTTTCAACACTGTGCACCTGCCTGGGACCGGGAGGCTCTGACGAGAGAGCTTGATTTTGTTAGTAGGATTTTTCATGGAAGTGAAGACCCCCGAGGGCAAAAACTCTTCTGGAAGTGTAAGGAACTCAAAGAAAAGATAGAAAGTGGACTTGCAGAGTCATCAGCAGCTTGCAGAGCAATATTGATGTTTTTCCAAGGTATATATTCAATGTTCATCCTAGGGAAGAACCATGTCTTCTGGTACTTTCAAGTCTACTGGAATAATATTTGTGGTTTATTAGGAATAATTGAACTCCAACTCTAGATAAATTTTCGTGGAATTTTTGTTTCAATTTTAGTAATCTGCATATTGTGTTGCCCTTTTTATTATTATTCATTTATCTATATTGTCCTGATTTGAAGTATCTTCTTTATGAAGAGCTTGAGGTAGACTCTCCAAAGAGCCTGGAAAATGGGGAAAGTGGACGGCTGATAGCCCCGCAGGAGGCCTGTAATCGAATTGCTGAAGTGGTGCATGAGGCCATAAGGAAGATGGAAATGGTGGCCGATGAGAAGATGAGAATGTACAAGAAAGCCCGAATGGCTGTTGAGGCTTGTGACAGGGAACTCCAGGACAAGGCCAGGGAAGTTCAAGAACTAAAGATGGAGAGGCAAAAAAAGAAGGTACAAATCGAAGAGCTGGAGAAAATTGTGAGGCTCAAACATGCAGAAGCTGATATGTTCCAACTCAAGGCTAATGAGGCAAAACGAGAGGCTGAGAGGCTCCAGAGGATTGCTCTTGCCAAGTCAGATAAATCGGAGGAAGAATATGCCAGCAGCTACTTGAAACAACGATTGAGTGAAGCCGAGGCAGAAAAGCAGTATCTATTTGAGAAGATTAAACTGCAAGAGAGTTCGCGGGCATCCCAGAGCAGCGGTGGTGGTGGTGACCCATCCCAGTTGCTGATGTACTCGAAAATGCATGATATGCATTACAACGCCCCTCCTAGGGCAGACTGCCTGCCAAACGAACGCCATCCTTTCAGAAAAAATCCTTGAGGAGTGGTTTCTAGTATGTACCGTGTATTATTTTAACTTCAGTAGTAGCAATGTTACTTTATTTGGTGAACTAGTTTGAATGCGATGACTTGTTTATTATGACCTGTGGCCTGTGGGCATTTTTATCTATCTACGAAGGCTGATAGCTTTTTAACTTTTTCCTCGTGTATAAAAATAAGTATATGTTTTGGTGGTGTTGGTTGAGTGTTTTGGGGTTGATTTATTTGATACGTATCTTTTTATTATGTAAATTTGGCATTCAACAGAAAGGTGCTTTATTATTATTTTCTTCATAACACTAAGGGGGGATTTTACTTATTCGACCATTTATAACTGAAATTACTACAAAGCTTAATTCATAGCTCAGTGCAGTGTTGGGCTCTTCTTTAGGTCGCTAGCTGGAGAAGCCTCGTCGTCTCTCGTCGATGAAACCATGTATTCCGAGCAGAGATTGATGGGTAAGGTTTACTGGAACGAACATAAAGTTCTAAACGCCATAGTGGTGCTAATGCCATGACACCTAATTGTAGAGCTGTTACAGACATTTGGAGTGACAACTTTGGCATTGTTTAAGAACAAGCCTGATCTTCTGGAATGGGTGACGCTGATGATCTTGCTGGGGGTGCTTGATGGAACCAGAGATCCATTTGGAAAATGCAGCAAATGCCCGAAATTTAGTGCGGTCGGTGTCGAATGGCTGAGGATGAATTCTGGGAGATGATGTGGAGTGGAGTGACTGCAGCTCTTGATAATTCCTGATCATTTGGCATGAAGAAGGTTATGTCCGTATTTCGCAGCGATTTGGGAATGCTGCTATGTACGAACTGAAGGAGGATAACAAATCCATGGAAAGACCTCATTCTCATGTCAGCCATGGCTGCCTGCAGATCGGTTTCGTTGATTTGTTTTGCAGGCTTAGACTCTCCAACTGCAAATAGGAGGAAGATGAAAAACCAGATGGCCATTGAGTACAACTTTGGGTGTAATTCTTTGAGCTGCTGATGTACAGGGATGGTCTAAAATTTAAAGTCTGGTTTGCATTTCATTCTTTTTGAATCATCAACCAAAGATGATCGGTTGAATGTTTGGCTGCATTAATTCTATAAAGGGGTTCAGCTGGAAGGTGATTTATGCATGCCGGGCAGGTAGTAATTATGCTGTTTTTTTTTTTTTTTTAATAACTTTGATCTACATTTTCTTTCTTTGTTTAATCTAGTGGGGTCCCAAGTTCCCCCTCTAGTTTATTGAAAAAAAAAAAAACAATTCTCTTTTTATGGTGCCTTCCAATGATTAGACACAAGTAATATCTTAATTGCTGAACAAAAACATTTCAAAAATAAATGTTATGGTTAATGCATAATAAATAGCGATCACTTGTGAACCCGAAGTCTTAAGTTTGATTCCCTTCACCCAATGGGCAGGTAGTAATTATGCTGTTTTTTTTTTTTTTTTAAAAATAACTTTGATCTACATTTTCTTTCTTTGTTTAATCTAGTGGGGTCCCAAGTTTCCCCTCTAGTTTATTGAAAAAAAAAAACAACAATTCTCTTTTTATGGTGCCTTCCAATGATTAGACACAAGTAATATCTTAATTGCTGAACAAAAACATTTCAAAATTAAATGTTATGGTTAATGCATAATAAATAGCGATCACTTGTGAACCTGAAGTCTTAAGTTTGATTCCCTTCATCGTTTGTGATAAAAAGAAATTTCTTTTAAAGTAATAACAATACAATGTTGACCCTTTCAGTCAAGTGGGCTGCATTCAAATGTGATTAAACGGTTGTTGTATGATTGTTATCTTATTCTGCTTGAGCAAATATCAAGCTTTGAACTTCAATTTGGCTGCATCACAAAGTTTGAATTTGAAGCTCAATTTTGACCAAAAGGTCCAAATAGTCGTGGACAGAATTGGAGATTGCAATCTTTCAAACTCAATATTATAATACACCAAAGATAAGAAGAGCAAACATCATGCATGAGAATGACCCAAAATAGACTGGTTGCCTTTCAACATTAACATCACATAAAAATGAAAGACTTTTTAAAAGCTATTATTATGGTCAGATATCAACATTAATAAATGGAAACTACGTTGATAAATTGTTAATACCAAATTAGGAGCAAATTACGAGCAAAGTTGCTAATTCTTCCACCTTATTGCAGCTCGCATTAACATTATTTACGTAACATTTAATTTAACGAAAAATACAAAATATTTATACCACGTCATCATATTTGAAGTGATATTAATCTTTGAAGGTAATCTATTTGAAGCTAGTGAATTTCTTCTCAATTTTTAAATAAATGACGTTGTTTGAGTGGCTAATCATGCCATTTCAACCTAATTACATAATATGGTTTTGCAACAAATTTTTTTTTGTTTCTCCAGGAGAAGATATTGCAAATGTTAAGTTACGCGCTGCCTAATGGATATGGTTTTTACTAGAAAAGCGATGCTTATGATTAAAATATTTATTTAAAAAAAATTATACTCTTGATGATTGTTGGTTTAAAATAATTGTTCCAAAGTTAATAAATAAATCAAGCATTATTCATAATAGCTTTAATTATAGCTGTGAACTTTGGCTTGGCTGGCTGTAACGTGAAAATTAGGACAATATGCATTTTATGGAAGCTATTCGGACATTCCTTTTCATGAGAAATCCCTGTATTAATCATCAATTCCTCAAATGAAAGCCATTTCAAAATTAATAATTCCTCGCAGTTAAAATAATTGCAAGGATACATCATATAATTCCGCTAATCTGCCAATGTTGTAACGTGAATGTAGGATTATCATTATTTTATTATTTTTTATAAAGAGACGATATAATTTTATTAGATCAATATGAATAACATTACAAAAGACACAAATTATAAAGAAAGCCATCCCAATAACAATATGACAGACATGAATAAAACTTCCCCAATGACCGACCAGCCGAAAAACTGAAAAAACTAGCAGACACAAACTATAATCCCCTCAACCGCCATAATTTTCCCGAATTTAGTCTAATGATATCAAGGACAAAAACTAGTAGCTAGCCGGCATGACTCTCCTAGAGAAACTAATAACACCCATCAAACTCAACTAAGTTTCTAAAATCATAAGAGAAAAAACACAGAAAAACTCATAAAGTTTATGGACTTTATTGAACAAACTAAACCAAAATAAAAAACTAAAACAACATTATCAAAAGGAAAAATCAATCGCAGCTAATTTTCCTTCAGAATATAACATAATGAGCATCACTTAGTTATTCTTATTTTTATACAAATGATATTTTTAAAAAGTGAATTCGAGCACATAATTAAAGATTCAAGAATAACGGCCCTTGATCCCTTAAACTACAAACCTCATGCTCATTATTGTATTCTAGATGTTCTTTCAAGTTTCAATGGACAGAGCAACTAATTGTAAATTAATTGGGACATGCCATCAATTGGGAAGAGGAAAGGAACAGTTACGGATTTCTATAAGACTATATAACCATGCATGGGTGACATATATATAGATATAGCCTATAGGTAGGTAGGTAAGCCATGGTATTTATTTTATCAGACTATCATTTTATTTTATTTTATTTTTTTTGTTTCTTATTAGACTATCATTTGAGTTGTTGAAAGACTTAGAATGGTTTTGGAGACAACTAAAATTAATGATTGAAAAATGAGTAAACAAACAACCAAAGGCACATTAAAAAACCCTAAGGGGTTTGTGATTACATAAACTAAGAAATTGAATACTATTAGAGTGCATTTGGAATGTGAGGCTTCCCAATATACAATTTTTAGTTGTATTTCAAAGTTTCATTTTTTAATTGAAATGGTGACATACGATCCATAAACATTTCTACTTATTTCATCCAAAATGCTATATTTTATTCAGTTGTAATTTTAAGGAGAACTCTTTTTTCTTTGTTTACTGATTTAGCAATAAATACTGCAGTCAGAGGGGTTTCTCACACACACAATACAAAAGTGCAAGTCAAGGCTCTTTTTCATTGAATTAGACCTCGTTAGTCAAGTCATTTTTATTTTAATGGTTGGATTTGGGTGTTTATTTGTTCAGAGAATCGTCCTTATTTGTCCATTTTCTTTCGCATTTTTCCTTCAAGTACAAGGATGCAAACCATTTTAATGTTATCTCACACTTACACATGTAACATCATGTTGAACATGACCCAAATTCAGCTTTGCCATCACCCTCTCCACCTGCAAAATAATTAAAACTCATCAAAAGCACATAGATTTTCAATTAAATACACTCACCTAAGCACCTATATTGGATCCTTCCCTTCAATTTTTGTACAACTCACACCAAAAAAACCAGAAAAATTCTCTAAGCTTATATAATCAGCATGTTCCCTGGTAGCTGTTGGTCACCTAAATTAATTCCATGCCTTTTGAAGCAAACATGGAGGTTGGGGAAGAGGAGGGCTTTTAATAATAAATATTTTGGTGGACGTTAAAGTGCGGCTATACCTATACTATCTACTATCTACTATCTATACCATACAAAGAAAGCAATGGCTATGACTTTTTTGGACTTAATTTAAAGTGGATACTGTTTTTAGTGCTTTCAGACATCTTTTTAGCTTAAAGTCTAAATAATTTTAAAGATAACCTAATTTTGTATTATGGATCATGATTAACATTCATGCTAGTGCAAAACTTTTTTTTTTTTTTTTTTTTGGGTGTGGGTAATCTACCCCACCATGCATCTGCAATCACATGCCACACAAAAAAGTAGATCGACCTACAAAAATACCTTTCTAAGAAAAATATAAATTCTTTTTATTATTTTCAAATTTGCATCACTAATTGGATATTGCTAAAGTTTTTTATTCTCTGCTGCAACCAAACGAATTAAGCATCATCCTATCTCAGCAAGAAGAAACTTGTGGAGCTTCCCCTTCTCATAAATTCTAGACTCTTTTTTTTGGGTTTGGTTCCATTATTGGTGAAGTAGGGAGATGCTTGAAAAAGTGAAAAAGTGTGTTACCTACCTTCTTCTCTTGGCTTCCTTTTGGCCAAAGGCAAAGCATGGGGATGTGGCTTTCCCCAAGTGACATAGCCATTGTTATCAAACTATCAATAGTGGGACATGGGATAAAAAGTGACACACATTTATTCATGCCATACACATACACACC